ACTGATGATGTAACCAATAGGTGGTGCCATGCCTGGAGCCGTTGTTAAAACCAATTGTACTTCCTTATTTTCGGCCTGAACTCTTGGTCACTTGATTAAAACAGACTTCAGCAGAGAGCGCTCTTTGGTTTTGTAKGGTTTCTGTTTAATAATCATTTCCAGGCATTTGTACATTCTCCRTRTGTTTTAAGCACACAWCCTGGTAACGAACCTGCATAACAATATTTTCTTTCAAGTCCTCAAAGTTTGTGTTTTAATGGAATATTTCTGTTGTGATTGCAGGTGTCAGTTAGGGCCGTACTGCAGAGACAACCCCTGTAAAAACAGTGGGAAGTGCATTGACAGCCTGGATGGTCCAGTTTGTGAGTGTGAAGCAGGCTTCCAGGGAGACAGGTGTGTCTGTTTTGAGTTAATACRCATTTTACTCTCCAGCCATGTCAGATTCTCTGCCTTTTGTCATCCATCACACTGACTTCTAATATTTTGTCTAGGTGTCTGAGCGATGTGGATGAGTGCATCAAGAACCCCTGCACCAACGGAGGGCAGTGCCACAACACGTACGGCTCGTTTAAGTGTAACTGCTCGCTGGGTTTCAGCGGACAGACTTGCGAGCTCCATTCGGTGGTCGGTAACGAGTTTGTCTCCACTTCCTGGAACATTGGCTTGGAGGAAGTGATCGGCATCGTGGTCTTTGTCTCCAGCATCTTCATACTTGTCCTGCTTTTCATCATTATTCGCAAGAAGGCTTGCCGCAGCAAGTCAAAGACGAACGACGACAAACATGCGGGGGGTTCCAGCGTGCCCCACTCCTTCCTCCACAGACCGTACTTYGATTCCAAACTCAACAAAAACATCTACTCAGACATCCCTCCTCAGGTGCCCGTGCGGCCCATCTCCTACACGCCCAGCATTCCGAGCGACTCGCGGAACAACTTGGACAGAAACTCATTCGAGGGCTCAGCCATCCCTGAACATCCAGAGTTCACCACCTTCAACCCGGACTCTGTGCACGGACACCGTAAGACAGTGGCCGTGTGCAGYGTGGCGCCCAATCTCCCCCCTCCCCCTCCCTCCAACTCGGTGTCAGACAGCGACTCCATCCAGAAGCCAAACTGGGACTATGATTATGACAGTAAGTGCACAGTTTATGTGGTCATCCTTTTTACTTACTTGAATGCAACCTYTGAGCAAATCTCAAATGACTAAAATAAGTTTAAATGAGCAGCATCCTAGTTGGATTTATTGTTTGTAGGGCTGGTGTCATTATGGGTTTTGATTCATGCGAGGCTTTTTAGATGAGTTTCATCAAAGTTTTCCAAAGATCCAATTACATTATTCAAATAATGCGGTGGTTCAAGTTGAAATGCTTTCATCATGCATAATTCCAGTTGATAGGTTTTGACAAAAACGGCAACAAAAACACTGATCAGATTGAGCCCTGAATTATTTCTGTTTTCTGCTGATGGAAAAAAAAGGCACTTACAGACCAAACATAATCAGTCTAAACGAGTTAAAGGTTTCTGTAGCCGGACAAAATATATTTTATGTCCCATGAGTCAGCGTAATGAAACAGTGCGTCAAAATAATGCAATAGTTTCTTAAAATTAATGAGTAGTGTTCCAGCTGATTTGATTGTGACCATCCCAAACAACACTTGAACCAGACGTGCTGCGATGCTTTGCAAATGCCCCACAATTAGCTTTTTGCTCATCCTTTCAAGGACTTTTTATTATGGAGGATATTTTTATTTCATTAAAGGGCAACAWCAAGGAGGTAAATGTATGATAATGTAGGGTCTAAAAAAAGACTTACCAGGTTAATATTCAATAATAAAAAATATTTGCACAAATAAATGATTTTTGGTTGATTGATTGTTCGTTGAGGTACAACTGATAAAACTTAGCATTATTCTTTATTTAAAGATGATATCGTCATTATGAAATTGCAGTAGTTTGCAGAATCTGAGTCTATATTTTACTTTCCAACTTTTGAAAGTTTTAGTCTTGTGTTTTTGGCTCTTTGACGTGACCATCTTTCCATCTTGGACGTGCCCTCTGCACCTTGTTCTGTGTTTTGCAGGCCAGYACATTCTTCATTAGTAAACAATGCAAMCACAGCAGACAATAGAATYRATTCTGCCCCMAGCRGTTCATGTATTTCATTGCAGCTACAAATGAACATTTACATGGTTAAATAATTTGAATAGTCGATAATGAAATTCCGTGTCGACTTAATTTTATAATCAACAAAGTCGGTTATTTCGACTAATCGGTGCAGCAATAGCCCTATTCATTATAGATTTATTGGGAACTTGGAGGAAACTATATATTTGCAAATATTATTGTCCTGAATTGACCTTTTTAATTACTTAAATGTAGAAAAATGCATCTCCTAAGAAGAACTGACAGGAGAGTTTTATGTTTTAGAGATTTAAATTTGTTCTGTGTCACAATGCTTACCTGGTTTGTTTCCAATGTGACATCCTGCCATGTTTTTATTTATTTATTTTTTATATTTAACCCAGCTAAAGTGGTGGACCTGGACCCGTGCCTGACCAAGAAGCCTGTGGAGGAAAGCGCCTGTCAGCCGTACAACACCAGAGGCAGCATGTCAGAGGTCCACTCCCTCAGCTCCTTCCAGTCAGAGTCCTGTGATGACAACGGTACGCTGCCATGTCCAATACGATCACTTTAAAGACAGCTAACTTGACGGCACAAGTTTTTAAATGACGATTTTGAACATTGAAGAGTTTTGCAACAAGTTTTCCTTTAAATCTGCATGTTCAGAATGGATGAAGCAGTAGCGGCTGTGGGGTCACATRTCTTTTCTCTTTCTTTCTGCTGCGGGGCTTCAGCTCCCATATGGATCAAATCAGTCCACAGATCCAGAACAAGGTTTTAAGTAGTGGGGGGGTCCAGCCTGTAAGTCCTCAGTCACTGTCGGTGCAGACGGAAGCAATCATAACAACCTGTACTGTGTAATTCTCCTGGGATTGTTTATAGAAGGAAACATTCTTTGTTCTCACTTTTAAGTTCTGCTTCAAAAAGAAGTTTGATGACTGTCATAAAGGAGTTTGATTCTGTTTGGAAATCACTCATCCGACCATTTATTTTGACCTCTTTATTTATAAGCATGCTGTTTTATGTTTCTCTGTTCCTTTTTCTTTTTTCCCCCTCCAAATTGAAGCAACAAATGGATGTTTAACACAAACATCAAAGAACATTTCACAAGGGTATAAATCATTTATTTACCATCTCACCTTTTTTTTTGTTCACATCTCATTTTTTTATTACCACTCAGTCATCTTTGATACATCTTTGTCATCAAAACCTTCATCTTGAAATCAAACAAAGCGAATCCAAATTAAAAAAGAAACAGTTTCCCGAACACACGTCAGCTTTAGCTGTGCGTGTTGGGATGGAAATGTGTCGGTATCTCTGGGGAATTTCACTGATTCTTCCATCTGTACTGTCAATGGCACCCTCTAGCTCCTCAGTATGTTGTTGTTGTTGTGTGTTATCTCCCACAAGCAAAGCCAGACCTCCCCTCATCTCCTCGCTACAAACACACACACCCCACATGCTTTGTTACCCTCTGACATTGTCTTGTACCCAGCCATAAACCGGCCCCTGAGACTCAGTGTTGATGCAGAAACGACTAAAACRTGCGCCTGCTGACGACAATGACGTTTGTCCTCCCATCATTCCAGCTACATTTCATTGTTTTGTATTGTTTTTGTAAAGATATTTGCACTAATGCGCGATCTTTTTGACTCACTCTCCCCTCCTCTTGCTTCTCACAAGCCTCCATTGTGACAGTAATCCACTTTGTCAACTCTGTTGTTGACTCGGTGGAACAAGAAGGTACTCTTCTAGCTTCTGTCCGCTGCCAGTGTTGTCCTCAGTGTCTGATCAGTGAAGGTTGCAACGCTGCCATTCTCTTAGACACACAACCCTCGTCTAACAATAACGCCTTCATTTTAATTMAAAAAAGCCAAATCTAAAACCAGGATTGTGATTAGGCACCAGCTGAGGTCTGTTTAAGGCAATGGCAGAGCTGTTGTGTTTTCATGAAGTGCCCCTCAGTGTTTCATCGTCTTCATCACAGTCATATTCTCAGCTGATTGTTTTGTTCTTTCTAGATTTTTATTGTGACCTGTTCTTTCTCTTTTCCCCCCATCTTGCCTCGCATAAAGAGTCTTTTTTGGCTCATGATCTCAAGAACCCAAGAGGTGACTTTCTTTTTACAATTTTTGTTTGTCTGGTGGCCAGTGGTGTACCCCCTGATTTCATCCTCTAACCTTTAACCACTAACCCTGATAGATGACTGTTCAATTTCCTCTGTAAAGTGAAGCTGAGCTGATACAGTGCTTTCACAGAATAGGGGGGGTCACGTCTGTGTTTGTAAGGTCATTCACCTCCCTCAGTTCTCACTCTTGAATGGTTTTAAAGCCGTGACAAATCGTATGATCAAAGGTGTCACTTAGGAACTCAAAAGAAAAGGGAATAGAGTCATTTTGTTTGTGTGTATTTACTTTCTTAAAATCATGCATTATGCTGATCAGTGCCACTACAGGTCAATGGGTCCTGCAGACCTGTTTTAGTGCCTTTAATTGACACAGTTTCAGTAGCCGTGTTTCCATCAAGGTTTTTTAAATGCACATTTTGAAGTATCACATCAGAAAGGGTGATTGGAAACGGCACGATTCGAAAAAACTTCTTATTCGCATAAAAGTTGATACATGAGTTGGGTTTTGTTTTTTTTTGTTTTTTTCAAGCTGAGAGTGCGCAAAAGGGGAGATGGAAACACATTTGCTGAATAAGTTCTGACGTAGCGAACATTTACCTCACATGTTGATCAGTTATTGTCGGTGTCTGTCCGAAACCGGTCCCGGTACCAGAGCGACTGCAGCCACATCTGGCAGCAGGACTCTCCTTCCGCTGTCGACAACTTCTCAGTTATTCCYGTAACGTGAAGAGAACTGCATTTCTTTCTCTACGTCTCCAAACAGCATGTAACATCACCAGAACTAGTTGATAACAGAATAATTACAACTTTCCTGATAGTAGCAACACGTTTCTGATAACTGCTCTACATTTTCCTGAGATGTGTGGACCCTGCGAGTTTGCGACTTCTACTTCCTGTTTACTACACACATGCAGCTGACGTAATGGATTCGCTTCAAGCCGTTTGATGGAAACACATCTGATTCGCATTTCTTCGTTTTTTTTCCTATTTGCGGAATTTAAAAAAAATTGCTCAAAATTTGAATTAAAATTGGATGGAAACACAGCTAACGATGCAAGTTTTCACCTTCAGGGGTCAGAACCTCTGTTGGACATGCACAGTTTGGTTTTTGACAGATGGCAGCTAAACACTTGACTGCCACATTTGAATGAGTACCTCTGCTCCTCTGTAACACTTTCCTCCAACAATCTGACAAGAATGGACCAAATAATTTATACCCGTCACTGTAAAGACAGCACAGATCTGAACAACGATGATTCAGGCAAACAACAAAATACTTAGCATGTAGGAAAGTTTTCAATTTTTTTGGTTCAACAACCCAGTAGAGGCTGAATGTGGACTCATTTTATTAATCTTCATCTATTTACTGAAAACAGCTTCAAAGTTTTGAGATTCAGTTGTCTTGCAAGCAGAAGTGTAAAAAAGGACAAAGCTGCACTCTAATTTAACACGTTTTATTAGTAAAAAAACAACTTATTGTCTAAAGCAAATCTTTAACACAAGCTAATACCTATTATGACCTTAAAACTCTTTTGTCTAAAATCATATGTAACCTGTTTCTGGTAATGCATTTGTGCCTGTGTTTAAAAGAGAAGAAGCTGGGAGGAAAGAGTTGAAAGGGTTGAAGTGTTTTGTGTTGGTGACTGACTCCTGCATGATGTGGGCTTGTTGACATTAACATTAAGTGGCTGTTATTGCCTGACATTTACTGCAGAGCTCTAATATATGTGCTGTCATCATCTAACAGGATATCACTGGGACACATCTGATTGGATGCCAAGTGTTCAACTTCCTGGAATCCAGGAGTTTCCGCATTACGAGGTTGTGGAGCCCCCCGGCCCTCAGTACAGCGATCTGAGTGCCATCGACACCGACTACTACCCGGGCGGCTTTGACATAGAGAGYGACTTCCCTCCCCCACCAGAGGACTTCCACGCCAACGACGACCTGCCGCCGCCTCCTCTGCCGGAGTACGGCGACACGCTGCGCTCTCTCAGCAGAGACTTGGACCAGCCCGGCCCAGGCAGCGCCGGCACGGCCCACCAGCGCCCGGCCCTGCCACGGCTCTTCAGCCTTAACCAGTACTTGCCGCACCACTCGTACCCGAGTGACGGGGGCGACGCTGAGGGCCAAGGCACCTCCTCCACCTCTGCTACCATTACACCTGCTTCCACCATGGGCACCGGTGGATACAGGGGGGGCTACGCTTTAGGTTGTAGTCGGGACTTCGACTCGTCCGCTCTGGACAACATGTCCTTGTCTCTGTACGCATCCACAGCCTCCTGCTCGGACATGTCAGCTTGCTGTGAGGAGTCTGAGGTGATGATAAGCGACTACGAGAGTGGTGACGAAGCCCACCTCGATCAGCTGTCCATCCCCATGCTGAGCTCCCAGCAGCACACTGAAGTCTGACACTGGATCCAAACAAAAGTGCCTGAACCCACCGCTACGCGTCACGGTAGCCTCTCGACACCAACACTAAATACGCACAGTCWGCAAACACAAAAAGAAAGAGCACCAGACACAGTTTAAGAGCTGACGGACATTTAAAGACCAGAGAAGAAGAGCAGGGCTTCAATCGCCTCCTGCTCCTTTGAGGTGGATTTACTTTAAAGGGGACTCGTTATGCTTTTGGTTTATGTTACTGTGATGAAACGACCCATCGAAATGGCTTTAAAACCTGAGATATTTTAAAATAAACTATTCGGCTATCATAAAGCCAAAATCATGTTAAGCAATTTTTTTTAGCAAATACAAATACATTTCCCCACAAATGTAGGCTTTAACATTTAGATGGAGTTAAAGAGATGCTGTCTGTATTATAAAAATCAGATTTATCTACTTTGCAGGTTTGCATTACGCTCTGAAAGATGAACTGAACTGTGTTTTTGTGTAATCTCTTTTTAACCTGTGAGTCACATACAGCTACACAAACTGAGCATAACACGTCCCCTTTGAGTGAGTTTTTATTTCCTGCAGTAAGTGGATGTTCTGACAGATCAATATTTCAACCTACAACTAAAAAAGTATCATGAAAAATAAAAAAACAGAAAACTCGTGGAAAATATTTTTATTTCTATAAACAACATCAGTTTTTATACAAATCGTCGTTTTCAGTGTAAATTTAAGTGTACAGTTTTGATTTCAAAGTTTACTAGGTTTTGTAGATATTTTATGCTTTTATTTTCAATGAAAAATTAGTAAAATAGTGTGATATCAGCCATTCTGTGCGTACGTTCACAAAAAAAATGGAGAAAATAAAAGAAAAAGCGAGAAGAGAGTAGCTTTTCTGAACACGGTGTACTCGTAAAGTTTATCGTCTCTTCWATGGGTCTTCAAAGAACGACTGCATAATCTTTTCTTTTGTTTTTCATTTGTTTGTACATTTTGACTTCAAAACKTCTTTATTTTTCCAGCAAGATAATGGGACCCAATATATTTATAGTGCAGAGTTCTTCATGGACACGAGAGTTTTTCATGTGTCTGTGTGTGTCTGAGCAATGCTATGGTCTTGTTAAGGTTTTTATGGAATACTGCCACAAGCTCACGCTTTCCTACTGGCAATAAATTATTCCTAAGAAATACGAGTGAGGTCTGTGAGTGTTTATTTATTTATTTATTTATTTATTATAAATGGAATCAGTGCACCAATGCTAACTTAATTGGATTTAATTGGAGAAAAAAATAGCATTTTAGCTGCTTAAACCTTCATTGAAGCCTCTAGAAATGGTTCAGATTTTTTTGAAGTGGTGCTCAGTGGAACGGTTCTGAACTTTTGTTGTAAAGAACCCAATTTGGAGAAATAGGAGTTTATTTTAAACGAACTGACAAGCTGATAGCTATCAGGGGCAGAGACCAAAGTGGATTTTTGTTGTCTTAAAACATCTCTTCAAACAGAACACTTTAAAAGATTAACACTATTACTTTAACCTCTTTTATTACTGTTTCAAACCAGAGTAAACTGAAGTGATTTAGTCACTTTATTTGATTTGTGTTTTTTACTGATCAAACAAGTTTCAGAACTTTGCAAGCTTTGTTGCATTCCTGGGATTTATAATGAACTGAGACAGATGTGCCAGGTTATATACGTTTTAATCACCAACATGTTATAGACGTTTATAAAAATGTACAATTTCAAAAACCTTTTTGAGTTTAATGAAACATTAACAGCCGTTGGGCTGTTTTTTTTTTTTTTTTCCCACAGTGAGAATGCATGAGGCCAACAACCTCACTATTACCGTAGCTCTACAATTCCTACCACTACACTAAAGTAGCTCCTTAAACGATAGAAATCTCACTGTTCTAATCCTTATTGTGTGTGATGTCACATTTAATAACTCAGACATCACATGAGACAAAAAAAAAAGGTTCTTTCTGCAGACCTGATGAATCATAATAAGTAAACGTTAAAAATGTCAGGAAGTTGTCACATAGAACTTGTTTGGACTAATCAACACGATTGAATGTAAGTATGATGTGATTAATATGTTGAAATTAGAATCAGTGAACAGGTTAATAAATACCTAACAAATACAAGATCTAAACACTTTAAAATCCAAATATCCTGTTAGGGGTTCTTCACTGTGGCTTCTCATTGATCTAATGTGTGGCTATTCARCCAGACTGCAGAGGGCCGGACATCTGGCAACTGTCATTATGTAAATTATGTAAATTGAATTAATTATTAAAATCTAGCTTTATTTCTGTGATGGACTTGCRACCTGTCCAGGGTGTACCCTGCCCTTCGCACTGTGACTGCTGGATATGGGCACCAGTGACCCACGCAACCCTGAAAAGGAAGAAGCGTGTACAGAAAATGGATGGATGGATGGATGGATGGATGGATGGATGGATGGATAGCTTTATTTCTAATAAACTCATTGGCAGGCAGACAACGGGATCACCTCTCTAATTGAAATATTTAGCATTTAACAGTTTTTAAATGGGACATGCAGTATACACACCACAAAGCAGAACCAAACATTGTTTTTTTTTTCTAAAATATAATGATGCATCTTTGTGTTTCTGCATGCTCTTGTGTTAAACTGGACCAGATTAGGTTTGATGTGAATCCATCTTTTTTTAAGTGACACCAGTAGATTTAGTGTATCAAGTGTCTCTTGGCTAAGGTTGCATAGTCTTCACCTCGGTTTCACAAGCTGAAATAAAACTCACTCTCATATTGTGAGATACASCAGGGACAGATCCATCCCAAACTCTTGGCAGTGGTTGGTAATTGTTTGCAGTTTGCAGCCACTCGTGCGTTTTTTTAATCTCATGCTTGATAGATTCAATTAACTCCGAAAACATCAGGTTTGTTTTTATTTATTTTTTTTGCACTTGTCTTGTTTGTTTGTTTCAAATAGATTAAGAATTAATGCATTATTTATGTTATGGAATCAATGCGGTTGGTCGTGACCCAGGCCTGGGATTAATCAGAGTTCTGCAGTTTCTCCTAATGACCACACGATGGCAGCACATGACAGCTGCTGGGTGATGAAAGGTCTGAACAGCAGAGCACTCTACAGAGTTTAATTAAATGGTTCACTCTATAGTCGTTTCAAGTTTAAATAAATAAACAAAATCAAAATAGCTGGAAAAAAACTTATATCACCAAGACAGTAACCATCCTGTAGGTGAGGGTGGTTAGTTCTGATCCTGAGTTTTGTCACTTGTTGCTAAGTGGTGTTAAAGCTCTGTCCTCCTGGCTTAAAATTATTGGAACAAGTCAAATTATCTTGTTTTTGTTGTATACTGAAGACATTTGAGTTTAAGATTCAAAGATGAGCATGAGACAAAAGTTTGAATGTCAGCTTTTATTTCCTGSTATTTGCATGTAGATGTGTTAAACAATTTAGGACACATCACTGTTTGTAATAGACCACAGCTCCACGTAGAATATATCCTCTCCAGCTAACACAGAATCCACCTGTGCGGGCCGTGCCTCCTCCTCCTCTCAGGACGTTTTGAAGCAGTGAACATCCTTCTGCAGGTTTGTTGAGGCAGCTGGTTCGAAAAGTTCTGCCAGCTTCAGTAGCTTGATRTTCTTTTGAAAATGCATTCTGACAAATACAGTTTATTCACTTTATTAAGCACCACTCACAAACTTCATCCCTGACCCATTGGCAGCTGTCAGTCAATCACCAAACTACATGCCCCCAAATTAGCAATACACATTCTGATTGGTCAAACCATTTTTTTGCTTGTTTAGTTTTTGTTTGTAGATCGTTATAGTTTTAAAAAAATTTAGAAAAAAGGTGCAGACATTATGAGATTTTTTTCTTTCTGTCGCCTTTCATTTTATTTGTGATTTGTTTTTTTTTATTGTACATAAATTTTGTTAATTTTTAAAGAAATGAATAAATGACAAAATGAAATGAAATGTGAGCCCACTTGGGTTACTATTAATTTGGACCAATCAGCTTTCAGAAAGATGCATCTTTAAAGACTGACAGGAGTGACTCAGCTCTGAACGCACTGCAAAAACAAAAACAAAAAAGTGTTTTATTAAAAAAAAAAATCTGTTGCTCCTGGCTTTATTTTTCAGCATAAGGAATGTCATATATGGCACGTGAGCATGTGAAGTCAGGAAAATGCATGTCTCACGCTCATTGCGCGAGGCTTGAGAGCTCTGTTCCTTACAAATGTGGCATCATCTAAAAGGG